AGAAATAGCTCACTTATTAACCCTTATCACGATTAAATGAGTTTAAGAAACAGTGGAGTGACTATTTCCCAATTTCGTCCTATGTATTTCTTCTACGTTGCTTCTAAGTAAACTCTGTAGAATATGGTTAATCGCGATTTTTTGATCAGAATGTTATATCACCATACATTTTCGTCTTCAGTGAAGTTCGTCGTCTCAAGGAAGTAAGATAATGTCAAGTTTGTCCTTCCCTATATACAGTGCCATACCGCAGGATGCAAACCGCATTTTCCTGATGGAATGACGAAAAATAAGATTCTGGATGCATTCCAGGTGGAATGGATAGCAAGTAATACACGTATGCCATTCAAATTCGGGTCTCTCGCAACAAAGGCATCATTTTATGCGTCCAACTTTGCACTAATATTTGAATCATTCAAATTGTAGTAGTGAAAACCACGATCATGGGACCCGAAAACGGCTCGTCGTTTAAAAACAGGAAGTATACTTAGAGCATATTTTATGCTGCCAAAAAGATTTAGGATATCTGAGATGCAAGATGATTGAGGAACCTTGCACCGGATTTGTTTGTGGTTGTGTACTCCTTGAATCTGCTCAAAACAGTTTGAATAATTGAATGAAAATATGTATTTTACATATTTCCTAGTTTTCAATTAAAAATTAGTGCCCAGATCACCTTGAAACATTTACTAAAGAAGAGCTACTCTTTCGAAAAGTGTTAAATGCAATATAAAGTAACTTAATTATCATAACATGCATTAATACCCCCACTGAAAACCTATCATTATAGCAATGGAATTCAGAACCTTTCAGGGCCTAAGAAAACAGAATTGTTGTCAGGTCTTCGTGGAGCATGGGAAGATTACTCAACAAAAAATCTGTCGATTAATTGCCATTAAAACCCATCTTTATGAACAGCCATGTAATTTTAAATATTGGCAGCAAATGCATCCGAAAATACCTATGTGGATGAAATAATTCTTAAATAAGTCACTAGATGCGCTATGGGCAAGAATTACAAGAGAATCTTTCGTTTCACTTGGTAGAGTGCAGATGTCCGTAATCAGATATAGAGAAGGTATTTCTAATTCGAAATGCTTGCGACAAAGATCGCTTTAAATTTTGGATTTTACGGATATTGTAGAGCTGAAGAGAGCTGAGAAAGTTCAGACTTTCAGAAAATTGGCACGGCAGGCGCAAACACCTCATCATTTGATGGTTTGTTGCATGCCCATGACACAGCCGTGTTAAGAAACTGAACCGCCATAAGAACTTTTTTTCATTTCGCAGTAGCATGCCTATGAGAAAATGGAAATCGATAAAGAAACTCATAAAGGGTCACAAAAGTTTGAAACGTCGACCATTAAAACCATTTGGCACGTTTTCTCACCTGAATTTTTCTACCTTAAAAGCACATATTAATGAATAAAAACATTCATGATCCAAAATAGTGAGTTTCTACCCTAAAGGGCTGCTTGTTGTGAGAGTACTGTTGCGAATATTCCAGAAAGTGGCGTAGCAACTCTTTGCAAATTAGAAAAAAAAGAAATTCATGTAGTGACTGCACGGGTTGAAGCGACCCGGGTTTCGTTGCAGAACAACATTATCAAGTATGGAAAGACATTTTCATACAGTGTGTTTAGGTTGGAAGAGAAGGGAGTTGAAGAAAAAGAAAGAAAGTTAGTGGAAGATATGAGTTAGTGGGTAGTTTCAATGATAAAATATAAGCACGAAAACTGGTGTGTTTGACGTATTCTCCCGTTTGACCCAGCGGGACAAAACGAGTTGTGATCGAGTGTGCTCACGAATGGGACGTATAGAACTCTCGATTAGTTTGACCACTTAGCTCTCGCTAGGGTACGAGGCTGGTTCTTTTCTTCTTTGCTGGGTATCAGATGATGCGATTGCCGATGGAAGGTCGTTGGTGAAAATTGAAAAAAAAAGTATTACGGTTGCTGTTCATTTGATCCAAAAATATTACAGAAAACTCAGAACTGAGAGGCTATTTCACATAAAGTATTGCATTTCGAAATATTCCAGGTTTCGGTATTTCAGATAGGGGGATACTGAATCTGTTCCATTATAAAGGAAACAGACGAAGTAGGAAACAACTCATCGATCAACTTTTGCATACAGTATTGATTGTTTTTGTTTTGTCTTTCATGCTTATTCAGCGTGTAAAGAGTGTCGGTTGCGATACGGCGTGGTTGAAGATTTTCTTTACTGTTAGAAATTTTGATCTTTTGTCGAGTTATATAGATCTGGGTAAATTTTATTAATCATTTGTTTCCATATTGCTTTTTACTACCAACATAGTAAAAGTGCACCAATATTTTGCAGTAATTAATTTTGCTGTTCGTATTATTGTTTGTTGTTGCTGTCGTCATGTGATGTATCAGTATCGAAAACCGAGTACCTTGATTAAAGATTTCTTTCATTTTGGTTTGTTAGAATAATTTAGGCGATGTTTTTTGCTGTGGCAAAGGTCATTAATTGTCGCAGCTGTTGTGGTGTGTGATGCTGGCCTCCCACCCCTGCTTCTGAGAATGGTTTTGGTAGGTTTCCATTATTTTTCCGGATGGTTATGACAAACCAATGCAGATTACGGTCCCTGATTTTTTTTTAGAGTGCATTCTCAGGTCGGTCGTCTCCAGGATCTTTTGTTTCTTTATTTGATGGAACCATCGCACTTTTAGAATGTTCCATTGACAGCGCTGCTAAAAACTGTCCAGTATCTTTTCATGGCGCTTTAGAAAGGCAGATACTTCGAGACTGTACATCAGGATTGAGAAGACAGCGGCTTTCATTATAGTGATTTTGCCACAATTTAGAAAGTTGCCCAAAGTTCGCAAATGCCATCTCCAAGCGCCACTCGACTTCCCAATCGCAGCTTCCATCTCTTGCCAGCACAGAATCGAGGCACTTGAAGTTTTCGATCTCGATGGTCGTTTCACTCCATTCAATCTTGGGTTCGTTTGTCGAGTTATATTCTCGCATGATTATCGTTTTGGCGGGGTTGACTCCTAGGCCATTCGCCGAGGTCACTTTGCGCACTTCTCCAGTTAGTATCAGTAGGCCTCTGGCGAAATGACTCAGCAGTGCAGTTTCATCATCATACTGGAGATCTGTTATTAGTACTACTGGGTGCCTTGGGCTGATTCGTTGTCTGTTACTCAATCCCTCCCTGGAGAACGACGCTCCTCTGCATAACATTAACCCCCACTGTTTATGTTAAACCATTCGGACTGTCACGACTCTTCTGCGGTAATGACATCTTTAGTGCTTTCTTAATTCGGATTAATTTGTGCTCTAGATGCATGCTCTAGATTTACAAGATTACGGCTGCCTTAAGATTACGTATTATATTTTATGGAAATGATGCAGTGTGCTGATAGCAGCCAATTTACTTACACCCGATTGAACTTATACCCATCTTTCTACAAGGTGTAATGTGAAGCAGCGCTTAAAATTAACTTGTTCATTTTTTTAAAGATGGGTTCCTTGGCATCTTGGGAAGTTTCAATACATCCGAATTTATGGAGACTGCCTTTGCGTCTATTCTGTTCAGCGGTATATGCTGTCACATTATGCCCTTTCTCTGTGTGAAAACTGCGTCAGGAAGCATGACCACAAAGGATGATCAGTCAAACTAATATATAATGAAGTGACGGACTGATTTATTCGTCGAACTGTTGTGTCAATTTCTTGATATGTTTCTGACGCGGAAGCAATTATATAAATCTGTTCCGTTATTTGTTTTTCGCTGTTACGTTTATTCTGACATTTTATTAATTATGCATATAGTTTAAATTTCAAACATTGTATGTATGAATTTTAACTGCAAATGCCACCTTTAAATTTTAATTTCTGTCACCTGTGAATGTTTCATGACTCGTTTTCATGGAGATTGAAAGTAGCATTGTTAGTTAGTGTTATGATTTCGTAGTTTATTAGCTGTATGTGATTTTTGCTTGTGATAAAAAAATTCTTACGTTCGAAGGTTCATTATTTCATATTTGGCGCGTTAATTGGTGGTCATACTGAAGAAGAACATTAAACACGGTTTATTATTATTAAAAGCCAGAATTAATATGCTCTGTCGGATGAATGACTACTACCGACGTTAAAGGCTAGTTTCAGACAAGCTTTCTTTAAGTTAGGAGAAAGGTGTGGTTTCGGAGGTTTTTCCTGTTTTACGCAGCAGTTGGTAGATTTGGAGCCAGAAAGCCAAACAAATCGTTTGCAGGATTTGTTTTTAGTTCCTCTTTAAAACATGGGCGAAAAAGTACAAGAGTCATTTGAAGAATTTAAACAGAAGCATCTATTTCAACTGATGTTTTCCATGATCCCTGAGAAGTTTTGGCCCGCGTTACATTGGAAGTTAGAAAATGAGGTAAAAAGATTTCTACTCCGTGTTGTCTTGACTGTAAAGGGTATTACGCAGATGTTCGATGCCGGAGGTTACTTCACAATGTGCTATTGCGAGGAAGAAATGGAAGAAAGCAGTGGTGTCAGAACCCCCGAAGGTGATGCCAGAGTCATCGAACCCGATACTGAAGCTTCTGAGTTCCTCCGCCTGAAGCATGGTCTCATAGATTGGAAGGTATTAGTTAACAGAGAAGACGGAGTCGACCCGGAAGATCCAAACTGGTAACGATTCATTTTTAGTCATTTTTCATTGAAGCCTGTATGAATTTACTATTTAATCCGCATATAATCAATCACAAAACTGGTTCTTTCGTACTCCCTTATATTTTTTACCGGTTTCAGACAGTTTGAGTCGCCTGTTCATCATTTTGTTCGAAATGCGTCCAGTACATATCGGTAATTGAGTTTATTTGTTTAACAGAATACGTCCTAAGCCAAATTTATTTTATCAACTACTGTAGCGTATGATCATTGCGGTTAGACAATGCTACCTGTTTCGCTGCTGTACTTTTCTATACGTATTCTTTGAAATCTCACTAGGTGTACTGTGTGAAATTCAACAAACGGGTTAAGATAAATATATGTATACACTGCATGTAATTACCTTAATTGTTGTTTGTCATTGTCTTCAGTATCTTTACAAGCCTGCAGTCTGCTTAACACTTATGATATCCGTTTATCGCATTCTGATATTAAGAGCTGTTATCTTTGCCGATAAAGGAAAGATCATCATCATCATCATCATCTTCCATCGCCGCTTCTCCTTTCGGGTCGCGGAGGCAGACGCGTC